ACACCACTGTCCACCAACCCGCACTTGTAAAAGGGCGTAAGTCTAACACCGTTGTAAAATCCGGAGAGGACCCCATAACACCCCTGCAAACCGTCATCAGACCCTGTAACACGCGTATAACACTCGAATGAGCCCGTGTAAACCTCACAAAAGCCCTTATTGAATACCCTCATAGCAACACAGCCGCATGGGCGTTTCAAATTTAGTATTGCGAACATCACGCAACTTTGCCTCATACTCCAGCTGACTGAGCCTGGAGGCCACTGACTCGGACCTGGGAAAGCCGTGCACGAGGCTGATTCCGTCACTTCTCGGTGGTGAGGCCTGGCTAGACAGCAGTGTTGAATTCTTTCTTTCACCCTGCTTCTATACCCCTTAGAACCAGAATATTCTCTTGGGTTTTTCGTGAACAATGAACAATAATTCCTAAGGAGCCCCTATAGTAATCATGCTGATGATATGCTGGCTTCTTAAAACATAGAAGCATCAATCTTCACACAACCTGGTCGATGCCTAAATTAAACTCGAAAAATGGGCTTTGAAACCCTCACAGCTGTTCGGCCCCAGCTGCCGCCGCGGAAAGCGCAGCTTCGGGATAGGAGGTGCGCACAATGCAGCACATAACCTGGACATTGGCACTCGGTCGAAGCTGGGTTCTACACCTCACTACAATATCGCACCGACGATTTTTTCGGCACCTTTCGAGATATGTAAACCCTAAACCCTAAACCCTAAAACCCTAGGCTTCCAGGGACCTGATTATTGGGTCTTTAAGGGGTCCCCATGTTGGACTTTCAGGATCCCGGGGGGTGGTTGGAATTTTGTCTGTGGCTGGGGGGTGCTGTTGGCAGTAGTAGTAGTAGTAGTAGTAGTAGTTGTTGTAGTAGTTGTCGTCGTAGTAGTTGTCGTCGTCGTAGTAGTAGTAGTAGTAGAAACTTCTTTCTGTGAGTAAATTGTTGTTGATATTGTTGATGTTGTTGTTGTTGTCGTGGGCCTCGTAGTGATGCTTGTTTGGGGTTATCGTCGTCGTCGTCGTTGATGTCATTGTCGGAGCGCAGGCTCAACCGAGACATGCCCAAAACCATGTTTCCCAAACCCTTGTTCAGTCGGGGAGGGGCTTTGTCCAGGCGGGGTACGCGTAGCGGTTAAATATGAGAAGGAACGCTAAGGAGTGTTACGGGTGTTCTGGAAATTATTCAGGCTTGTTTGGCTTGTGTATTAAGCTTTGGCAGCGGTTCTTTCTGTTCGCTCGCTGCGATAGGTGGCCGCCGCACGGGAGCAGGGCAACAACAAAGGCACATGCGAGGCTCAAGAAGCATGCGGCGAATGATCGTCTTGGGACTATGGATAAGCTAACATGAATAAGCCGGCTGCATAGATATGGCTCAGGCGAGCGGTGTTTTTTGCTTCACTGCCAGGTACAATGTCCAGGTGCGCTGTCTTGGTGCCAATGGTTTCTTAACAACTCGTGCTATTTTTGCCCAGCTTCATGAAAGGAGTATCGGGTGGTAATATCCACAATCTGAAGCAACCAATGTTGGGGTAGGCGTTGCCGGCGGGCAGCACCACCGATTAAAACTGCTCGAGCTAAACACTCTCGTCCCTACAACCTTATGAGACTTAGCTTGCAATCTCGTAATATAGAAGCCTGATTGAATACCATAGCATGATATACCCTTTCAGGCCCCATTAGTTCGAATTATGAAGGCTCCCATATGAGGCTGCATCTGTTGAGCTCAGCATGGTTCTCAGCTCTTCAGCCGCCCTGCCGACCTGGATCCAGCAGCTAAAACTGCCTCTTGGCCCGGTACCTCCTGGAAACGACTTTCTGGCAGTAGGTTACTTGGAGGATCATGGGACTTAGTAAGTAAGGTTATACGTACCTTAATTGGGGTTACAAGTATAGTTACCCTAATTCTAACTAACCCTAGTTACTAAGTCCCATGATCCTTTAAGTAGGGTCTATAGGATCTACGTCGGTGCAAGGGGGTCAGGAACCCTACGTTTACACCCTGCATGCGTGCGCCGCAATATGAGATCTTGGTGGGAGGTCGAGGTCTTGACTGATGTTACTCTAGGGGCCTAAGCAATTAGCAAGACTGTTCTGGGGTTCGTTATTATGAATAAGAAGTATAATGACTGCCGCGATGCCAGCCGACATGCTCGGTGAAGCTTCTCCGACAGAAGCCCAAACACTTCCGTAGTCTAGTGCATGCCCTAGCCCTAAAAGACCCTAAACCCTAAAACACCTAAACCCCTAAACCCCTCAACCCGAAACCCCTAAACCCTGAACCCTAAACCCTAAGGTGCAAAGATGAAGCGCGAGGTCTGATTCTGTGATCCAAACAACATCTCACAAGCGGCCATCTTCCAGGCCCCAAGCCGCAATGAACATCAGATTCTTGAAGGGGGTTTAGGGTTTAGGGGTTTAGGGTTTGGGGGGGTGAAGGAGTTTCAACTACCCAGAGGCCCCTTAGTAGTTCCTTTTTGGGGTTCATACAAAATATCCTAGAAGGCACTCCCAAAAAGGAACTACTATGGGGCCTCTGGGTAAACCCTAAACCCACTTTTCAGTGCTTAGCGCCTTAAACCCTCGAACCCCCCCCCCCCCCCCTCACGCAAACCTTGGACTTTCTGGGAAATGGGGTCGGTCAGCCTTACTTGAGATCTTTGTCTCCAGGATCGAACCGGTCGCCGCAGGCGCCTACCTACTGAGCGGTTGCCCTCTTTAGCAGGAACTAAGCTGAAGGGCAGAGAGACTTGCACCTACATGCGATCTTCGGTATCAAGCCAGTCGCCATATCTAATAAAGACGACAAAGGCACCACTACCACTACTTGTGCTAATATCGTGCCAGGACTCCGACTACCACTCATCCTATCTTGCTTCGATTCATCCGCCGGCTAGTCTTGCCTGCAGGTCAGTCTCGAGCCGACCGTTGGGGCTTCTACCAAAAGACGCAGGTCGGGGCTTCGGTTCCTGCCAAAGCTTTGGATCTAAGTTCTGCTCCAGTGTTGCAATACTTTGTCAATTAGAATCGGATTTTCGGGACCTTATACTGAACTATAAGCTCGGACTACAAAGGGATCTTGTTGTATACGAATGATGCCCTGCAGACCCTCTGCCCGCTACCTCGCGCCACTTATCACACGAACAGCTGCAGAGGCGACCTGTCCGCAGCTTCTTTCTAGGATGGTTTTACAGGGTCTAGGGTTGGAAGCATTGGAGTTTAGGATTTAGGGTTGCTTTATACTTTCGGTCGTGGTGTCCAAAACTGCTGCGTGTGTGCAGCGCTCGGCGCATTGGTTCTCTGAAAAGTCGGTTGGTTCCTCCGATGGCTGAAAACTGAGCTGTTGGAATCTTCCCTGACAACACAACTAAAAATTCACCTTTCTTACGTATTACCAACATATCTTCTGATTCTTATTTCATGATACCAGTGCCAATCATTTTTGCATACTATGCATAAGTATGCATAAGTGATAGGTGCGGATTGAAACTTCAGCCTTACAATCGAATGACCCGCTCTCGGATTTTTACCATCGCTTGCATCACCGACACATAGGTTGTTGCTTCAGTTGCTTCCAAGCCTGAGAAATGTGCACCTGCTTCTCCGAGTAGTCCTACACGCTTCTTAGACCCTGCGCTTTCAGAATTCATTACTGACCTCCTAGTTTTCATCCGGACCGAACATTTACTCGCTTTGTAAGCTCAACAAGATGTCTTCTCGTGAAACACCTTAACTTAAAAGACAAGTCGCATCAGACTTTGCCTTACAATAGTTGAGGTTTCGAGCCTGGGCATCTCTTTGTCAGCAATACTGAATTTCACTGCACGGACATGTGTTTCGTCCTTGCAATTGTGCTTGGCTTGATTGATTTGTCGTCTACAGCACACGTATCACTGTATAAGAACTTCCGACAAAAGCTTCGAACTGTCTACGAAAGCCTCGAACTAGCCTTGCAAACGCGTGTTCAAACCATTTGATACTTACTCTCGCATTTGTTCATAAAATCTGAACATCTCCAACAGGCTCTACTTTAGTGGGCTTTGTTTCTGCTCTTGACCTTTGATGATTGCAGCATGTTCATTATCACTATCATGACAGCGATACAGAGATCCCCTCTTCCTCTAACACCATACGTGCAAGTGTCAATGAGGGTTTTTCAAACACGAATGATGAACACCGCACAAAGCCTGCCCACAACCCCTAAACCCCAGACCCTAAACCCCAAACCCTGCAGGTCGACAAATGTTGTCGTATGCCGTACGGGTACTTCTCTAACTTCGGGTCCCTTTTCGGGGGATCCTTTTCATTAGATGGTTGCCGTACTAGTTGCGGGGGGGACCCCACAAAAGAAACCCAATTGGGAGAACTACCCATATGAGCATTGTAGAGAGGCTTTGGTTGTTTGTTGCTGCGTCTCGAAATATTTGGATTTCAAGATTGCTTCTTCGACGGGCCTGTCCTCATTCGTCACATAACTGGCCACTTCGTATGACTACTACTGACTGCTGAAAACACCCGAAGATCAACTAAACACCTTAAACCCTATGAGCCCTAAACCAAGCCTAATCGAATATAGGCGCCTGAATAATTAGAATAGGGTCTTGGGTCCTATTACACTACAACCATATTAAGGACCCCCAACAAAGTATAGGTAAATTATGCAGGTGCCCATAGTAACCCACACAAGCTTTCAATCCAGAGTGTGGGCGCACTGGTGTCTCGCACTTGTGGAAATCATTGACATTCCATGGTTTAATATGCTTGAATTGGTTTAAGACCTTTTGGGTGGAGTTCTGTATATAGAGTTAGGGCCAACAGAAAGTCTCCCAGACGCCTTTTTCTTTAGCGGGCAGTTCAGACATGAAGCTGCAAAGGCTGATCTCGAGCGGATCTTGGGAACACGGTTGGTATTATCCAGTATGGAATAATGTGCTATACTACAAAGTGATACAACATACATATGATATAATGATACAAAGGCCCCTCACTCTCATGCGTGCTTTGGGATCTTGGGATCAGCAAAGATCAAGATCCTGTCTTTGTTCTTGGAGAATTCCGCTCTGGTCCAGTGCTGCTTGAAGTCGGCCCAGACCATGAAATACCTGATCTGCTGAGTTTAGGGTTTAGGGGTTTAGCACAAGCCCAAGCAGATGTAAACCGAAAAAAATCTACGGAGGATAAGGCTATCCCCCCCAAACAAGAAGGAAAAGGGTAGTCATTCAGCTACCAAGGGACTTCTCCTTCTCCAAGTGGTTGTTCATCCAGAAGATGTCCCATTCCTTCGCTGGCCATTTCTTTGAAAGCATGGCTGCCATGCATCCGGCGTCTTGCTTATGCTCGCACCGCACTCCCTCTTCTCCATTGATGAGCTCCGCTAATCCGGCCAGGTCTTCGGAAAGGCGGGCGGTTTTCGTGTCAAGGCTCCAACCGCTTTGGACCCTATCTGCACTGCCATCGCGGAAGGCTGAAGCAGGACTCCACAGCGCGGAGACTGTCAGCACAAGCATCAAGGATTTCGACATGACCAAGCAACGGCAGGGTTTGGAACAAAAGTCCAGGTGAGTTCTATCAAATCAGAGCGGCGCCTACAGGCCCAGAGCCAAGAATAGGCTGCCAAAGAGACATCTAATTTAATCTTCAGTTACAAGTTACAACCAGCCAATGCAGAAGATGGCTGACTAAGTTGTTGGGACTGCAAGGTCATGCTTCCATCCAGCTGCCGTCTCCACTTGTTCGAGTGCCTCGTGGTACCAAACACCACTGTAACGTACGCAGAATGCTGCCCCTTGCAGAACAATGCCAAGAATTTTCCTGACACAAGAATACAGCGACCTTAATAATTAGTGCATTAGACTATAAGAATAATAATGACCCCCACCGAAATAATGTAATTCGGTAATTATTCAGGCTCCTATATTACATGCTAGGCAGACCTCTTCGTGACCAGCCGAGAGCCGCAGTTGCTAATGCAGTGATGTTGGCGGTTTCGCTAGATTGGCTCAGTACTGTACCTACAGGGTTATACCCTACCCCTTTTTTAAGGTACTTACTTGTCTATATAAGAGAACCTAACCATAAAACCAGGTACCCTAAAAATACGGGGTCGGGTATGACCCTCTGGGTAATGTTCAAAGGATTTGAGACACGGCTTAGGGCTCAGGGCAGTTCTGGGTAGCAGCAATCCTTGAAACCCTCAACGCGAATGTTGGCAGGCGTGAGGTGTCACGTGTGAAAACGTGCCTGAGCCCTAAACTCTGAAGGGAGTGTGAGGGTTAGGCTTCGGCTTTGCAGTTGACATCGTAGCGGGAGAGGCTGAGTTGATAGTTGCCAGGCTGGTACGAAAAAGTCTCTGTGTGTGTGTGCGCCCACTGGGGTTTGACCTGTTCTCACAGCTTCCCGCTAATCAAGCCCCAAGCAATTCCACACTCTGAATCCACTGAATCCCCACCCTAAGCCCTAACCAATGATCGAAAACCGATGCAGCCCATAAGCCCAAATCCCAAATGCACAATGGCGGCTGCAGTACTCAGCAACTTCGGATTTATTGCAAAGCACCTCATATGCGATAAAGGAAGATAACACTAGCCTACAGCTCTTCCCAAAGGGTCGAACTGCTTTGTGCTGCCCGGGTGGTCCCCACCAAGGATGGATGGCTGTTTTGGGTTCCATTCATGGGAGCCGCCCAAGAGCCTCAACATCTAAGTGACGGCAGCCTCCTCTTCACGGGTGCAGTCAACATGTAATGCACGCAATTTCTCTCCCCACTGCCTGCAAGCTCGCGCGCTAGCTGCTACTTCTCCTCAGTACGAGCACTGTAGGGTTTCAGGCAAGAGTTTACAAGGCTTGGGGACTCCTCAAAGGTTCACCTGTCGTGATATAATAGAGGTACATGATTCATACATGGGAGTTTCCGAAAATTAGGGGTACCTTATTTTGGGGTCTTGTGATAAGGATCCTCCCCATTTTTGGAAACTCCCTTATTGCTTGTTCTGGGATGAGCAAAAATTGCCACGATGCTGTTCCTGTGCGCAAAGGTGGGTGGCCTTGCGTTCCGTTTCGGGACCTTCTAAACAAGGGACGTGAATGCTAAACCCCATGAAAATGGGAGTTTCCGAAAATAGGGGACCTTTATATAGTAGGATCCTTATTATAGGGACCCCCCCAACATCAGGTACCCCCTAATTTTCGAAAACTCCCAAATCGCACTGAAGCCTTGCGCCCGGAAGCTCCGGGTTTAGGGTTCAGGGTTTAGGGGTTTAGGGATTAGGGTTTAGGGTTTAGGGTTTTAGGGTTTAGGGTTAGGGTTTAGGGTTCAGGGTTTAGGGGTTAGGGTTTAGGGGTTACCCAAAGGCCCCAAAGTAGCTCCTTTTTGGGGTTCATATATAGAATCCTATAAGGTAATCCCAAAAGGAACTACTTTGGGGCCTCTGGGTAGGGTTTAGGATTCAGGGTGTTGCGTGACGGGAATTGTGAAGCCTTAGCTACACTGATACACCTGCTATGTTCCAAATAACCCCAAACGCCCCGTGTATTACTGGTGTAGAGCGAAATCCCTGTAGAGTCCAATATAGTACCCTAAATGGTATGATCCTTATTTTAAGGACCCCAAAATAAGGTACCCCTAGTTTCGGAAACTCTAAACCCTAAACCCTTTTATGGAACCCTTAAAGATCCCTCTAAGGAACCCTTTAATGGTACCCATAATTATCGGAAGCTCCCCATATTAGCGCCTTAAACCCTATACCCTTATAGAATCCCTATAGATCCCTTTAAAGGGACCCTTAAAGGAGCTTCAACCTCTTTCGTCTCGGGCTTCCCACTCCGAGCTCTCTAAGGCAAGGGCGAGGCCGCTGTGGCAAAGATGGCATACCTTTCTTAAGGGATCCTTATAATCCCCAATAATAATCCAGGGAGGCCAAAAAGGGGGCCCTTATATAGGGATCTATAGGGTTCCCTAAAGGATCTATAGGGATCTATAGGGATCCTTATAGGGATCTATAGGGTTCCTTATAGGGATCTATAGGGATCCTTAAAAGGGATCTATAGGGTTCCTTATAGGGATCTATAGCGATCCTTAAAAGGGATCTATAGGGTTCCTTATAGGGATCTATAGGGTTGCTTAAAGGGATCTATAGGGTTCCTTAAAGGATCTATAGGGTTCCTTATAGGGATCTATAGGGTTCCTTAAAGGATCTATAGGGATCCTTAAAGGGATCTATAGGGATCCTTATAGGGATCTATAGGGTTCCTTAAAGGATCTATAGGGTTTAGGGATTAAGGTCTACTTGGGAGGATCAGGGGACTTAGTAAGTAGGGGTATAAGTACCTCAATTGGGGATATAAGTATAGTAACCCTAATTATAACCCTAGTTACTAAGCCCCATGATCCTTTAAGTTTGGCGTGGTCCGGGAACGAGTTTCATGGCATCGGACACCCGCGTTCATGCTAAGGCCTAGCTTGAGCACCCCGCAGAACGGGTCTGAACCTGACGGGAAAACCCTGACAACTTAACTCAAAGCTGGGAGTGTTTCTATGGAGCCAGGATGGGTGGAATCCTACAGAACTTGTTCATTGACAGCCCTCGATGGGCTGCGAGGTGTGCCGAGCTCTGTTTCAGTGGGTTTGAAGCTTTTTTGCCACCAACTTTGCAACCCGATTTGGAACCCAACACCCCGACTTGGACGACTGCTAGGCTGACTTGGGCAGTGCATCGAAGCTACATAGCGCCAAACCCGAAGCCCTAAATCCTAAGCACCAACAAGATGAGACTCTGGTGTGGACATGATCCCACTCCCTAAACCCGTAGGGCCCTCGCTGCCCGACACTCGTTCCAATCACCTCTCGGCGCGAGTGCCTCCCTAAGCTTTCTGTCTTAAGCCATGGCACGCCAGCAAGAGCATGATGAGGGAGAGGACGGCTAGGAGCGGCCCGTAGAGAGCTATGTACCTGCAGATAGAAGGTATACTTTTCTACGGTTTAGACTAGTGTATTGCCTCCGTCAAAATCCATCCTAGAGACAATAAGGACCTTTTAGGAAAACAGGCATGCATCTACACCTTTTCTGCATATGTATGTACCTTTATATATGCATATATACTTATACATATGCTCATATATATATATATATATTGGTTTGATACAAGATACGATAAGATATAATAGAGTATTACACAATATAATGTGCTGCACCATTTGCCAAGCCTCCAGCCCCCGCATGCTAGTTCTTACCGTTGGCACCGTTGGGACGTCGTAGTCGCGTAATATCAGGATCCAGAAACAACAACAGTTACGAACCCCAACCGAGCCATTCCCCTGTCTGTTGGCATTCTTGGGATGTCGCAGTCATGTCGGGATCCCTAGGCTACAGCAGCTGCAGAGATTCCCTCATGCACCAGGCCACGCTTTCGGATTTCTTTAAGCTTAATACTCCAGGTGCTTTCGGGCTTAAGTAGGGCTCCTTTGAGGGCGATTACTATATCGGCTTTGGGGGTTCCGGGTGTAGTGTCTACGGTTTTGGGGTTCTCTCTCTCTCTCTCTGTCCTTCGTTGTCTCTCCATCTCTCTCTCCCCTCCCACTCTCACTCTCATGCTCAGTCTCACACTCTCAGTCTCACGCTCACTCACCCACTCGCTGAATCAGACCCAAGAGGGCACAAGCTAAGGAGCTGCTCGAGATAGAGCCTTAGAGCAAGTGCTGGCACAGAGACAGGTTCCGCGATGTTGGCTTGGGCATAACAACTAATCACAGCAGTAACACTAATAAGCCCAAAACAACACTTGGTAAACATGAATAACTAGTCGAGTCGGGAGCTGTCGGGAGCTGGAGGATGTAGGACTCGGTATGCAGGTTTGGGATTCTGGAACCAGAGCCGCAGACTTCAGAGTCTCTGCTCATCACACTGGAAAACCGGCAGGAGCTTGCAGAATGCAGGTGTAAGGATCCATCAAAATCGATGCATGTCTGCTCCTGTGATCTCAGGACAGATTCCGACAGACTCCCTAAACCCTAAGCGCTATTCAACAACCATTGCGTAAGATATGCCTTTCAGCCTGCCTCTGCAACCAAAGCACTTGTATGTCTTTGCAGAGAGCTTGCTCTCTCCGGCATTCCTCTCCTGGAGCCGACTCTAGGGATTTTGCAGCCGGTAGACCTTAAGCCGCTTTGTGCTATCGACTTCAGGATTCACGGCAGTTTCCAAAACTCCCAGGAAGGTGATGTTCTGTTTAGAGGGGGTTACACGGATTTGTAGAGTTTGTCCAAGGTTCTTGCCTGGACATCCGATCGACTAATCTGTAGGCGATTTCGCCCCATCGGCCTGAAACGTGATCGCCACATCCTTCACGGGCTTGCAGCGACATCGCACCTCCGGTTGTAGAGATAATAACAATCATAATATCAGTTATCGCCTCACAGGTAAACACGAGACTAGTGATACTAGTAACAGTATCGTTATCATAGTATTTGCAATCAGAACAGAATGGCAACACTATAGTGATGGAAGGGAATTGTGGTTTAGGGAGT